ATTCAAGGCCTGTTTTTCCTACCTGTGACAAGAGGGTTCTGTCTGAGGTAACTTGGAAGGACGAGCCCAAAGAAGATGGAAAAGCCAAGCACAAAGAGGTTCCGGGAAGAGTTTAAATCAATAAACTGCAGGTTAGAGAGTCCAACGGCTGTGATCATTCCTGGAAAGAAAACATCAGCTAGCAAGTTCCAGTCACTCCCACGGAGGAGCTTACACTACAGCACGGGGGACAGGTGACTCTCAGCTGCTGAAGACAGACTCCCTACAATGCCCTTCCTCTGTCCCATCAGAAACAGGTCAGAAGACCAGGCAAGGGCAGGACGGGGACGTGATGAGCTGGCCACTCGGCCTGTGCAGAGGCGTAAGCATCACAGTGTTCTAAGGCCGTAAGGCTTTCTTTAGACCACGCAGGAAACCAAGGACACGGGTTCCCCCTTGACACTTCTATGCAAACATTGCTATTAAATTGGGAAACCCACCCAAAGAGCTGGTCCCTGATTACAACTACTAAATGGCACAGAGATCAAACAGAGACCCACTGTAAAAACGGTCTGTTTTAAACGGTCCATTCAGTTAAATCGCCAATTAAAGAGATTATGTCATCCTATTTTTCCTAGACTAAATATTCTACCTTCGGTTATACCTTCAACATAAATTCAACTCAAAGAGTGATAGATTTTTAAGTTTTAAATGTCTATCCTTTTATATTATAAAATAGAAATGTAGTGCTACATCCAGTCTTACTGAAGAGATTTAGCAAAAAACCATAATCTCTATGAAAAATTAGCAAAGAAGAAGAAAAGGAGCCTCAGAGGGGCAGCCCACCATCAAGGAAATGGCCTCTTACCAAAGAGAGTGCAGAAGAGGGCGCCAAGCACAGGGTCCGGAAGGGAGGCGAAGAGGGCGCTGAACTTGCCGATCATGCCCAAGGCCAGCATGAGGGCAGCCCCATACTGTATCACCCGGCGGCTGCCGACCTGCAGGACAGAGGCGGAGGCAGGTGTTCAGTTCAACATGAATTCCCCAACCCCTTGGGGCAAATGTAACAAAACTCTTATTCAAAATCCAGATAATTCTAAAAATATTTAGTTAAGAGGGATCAGCCTCATTTCATGAGGATTGATCTCAATGTGCAATTACTATAAATTACTATAAAGCACCCAGAGTAAGAAGATTCCCACTACCTTTCCTTGTTCCCATTGGGCTCCTTCTCCCCCCATGACTCTGGGGAGGGGGTGGGCAGGACTTAGTTCTGCGTCTCTGAGCCCTGGCTGCTGTCCCGTGTGTGGACCTGCTCCTAGGAGCGCTCAGGTCCTGCATTCCTAATGCCCACAGTCACTGGCAGGGACTAACTTTTAGTGTATCAAATGCAAAACGTAAAAGCTAACTTTTGCTTCTCCATGTCCTTTGGGTTTCTAGCATCACCCTTCACTCAGCAAGTTAGCCTACTCAAACCACTGCAGCCTCAACACCCCATCTTCCCCGAACCCTGACAAAACCCCAAATATTTCTGGAACCTCCTCATGGTGTCTTTCCCATTAGAGTGACACAGCCTAGAGCAGCGGTCGCCAACCTTTCAGACCTAACGGACCACCAGCTGGCGACCACTGCTCCAAAGGTTTCCTTAAACCAGCGGTCGCCAACCTTTAGGACCTCATGGATTACCAGTGGTTGGCGGACCACTGGTTGGTGACTGCTGGCCTAGAGGACAAGGCACAGAATTCTCGGGGCCCACTGCCTGGCTGGCATCTCCACTCCACCTCTATCCACGTGACCTGGGCAAGCTACTCAACCTCATTGGGTGTCAGGATGCTAAACCTGTGGTTTTGCTTTAAGGGTTAAATGAGATCATGTATAAAATAGTTTGAACAGCACCTGGCAGCATCAGGCTATTTGATAGCCTCCCACTGGGCCTGCTGCCTCTGGCTTTCCTCCGTCTCTCTGTCCAGTGGTAAAGGGACCTTTCAAACACACTGGGAAGTCAGTCCTCTGCACAAGTCCTCTGGTGCTCATGAATTAAAACAAGTCTCAGGCCCTTGCACACCGGTGCCGGGAACCGGTCCATCCTTGCTGTTTCAAGGGACCTGGCATATATGGCATACTGTTCTTAATATGTTTGCTCACCTTCTTGGAACTATGTGTTTTAACCAAGGTCACCTCTCCGAGAAAGGTTTCCCCAGGTAGAGATTTTCCCCTGAAGTTAGGGAGGGAATAAAACCCCTTCACTAAGTGCCAGGCCGGTAATTGATCTCTTTAACTACGAACAATCATGCTTAAGCTACATTAATCTTTACTCCCTGGAATGGAGATAAGAAACACCCTAGCCTTTGGACTAGAGATTGATAGGATTGAATCAACTGGTATAAATACAGATGTAACAAGACAACAAAAGACAGAACCTAGACACAGAACCTAGACACAGAACCTAGAGACAGAACATGGCAAAAGATCCTGG